CAAAACGTAAATGACATTCATTTCAAGTGAACAGTCACCAAGACTGATCATACTCTGATCTAGTTAAATGATAGATTTCAAAAGATTAAACATCTTTTTTTAGATTAAACATTAAACATTCTGTTTTTATGAATTAAACATTCATAAAAACAGAATTAAATTAGAAATTTGAAATAAAACATCTAGAAAAGATCAGAATATTTGTAAATAAACCAACTAAATCCTATAACATTCATGGGTAATAGAAGAAAGCATAAAATAAATTAGAAAACAATTTGATCAGTTTTTTAAAGAATTAAAATTTATGAACTGCAACTATAGTAAAACATACGAGGGGGAGTATTTATAGTTTCAAAAACTTATGTTAGAGAATAAGAATGTCCAAAATGATTTGTCTAAGTTTCCATCTTAGGAAGCCAAAAATTAAATAAATAAAAGAGCAAACTAAACCTAAAGGTCAAAAATAATAAGGATAAGAAGATAAATTAATAAAATAGCAAGGACACACAACAGAGAAAATCAATATAAGCAAAAGTTCCTTGAAAAATTCTAGCTAGATTTATCAAGAACAAAGAAAAGTACAACCTACCAGTGTCAGAACTAAAAGAGACAATTTTCAGATCTTATGAACATTAGAAAACTAACAACTTTATGACAACTTCAGACAATTAAATTTGATAGCTTAGATGAAATAGGAAAATGTCTTTAAAAACAAACTATCAAAACTGACACAAAAATGAAAGAGAAAATCTAAGTATTCCAGCATCTACTAAGAAAATTAATTTGTAGTCCAAAGAATGCCTAAAAAGAAAATTCTAGACTCTTGGCTTCACTGATATTTTTTTGTTTAAATATTTCAGAAAGAAATAACAATCTTACACAAATACTGAGCAATACTTTTCAACTGGTTTTATTAGACATATATTATTCTGATATTAAAAGTACCCAAACACATGACAAAGAAAATAAAAACTAGAGGAAAAAATTCTCCTGAACTCCAAAAATTAACCAAGTATTAACAAAAGAAATCCAACAAAACATAAAAGTACAATGTATTTAAAAATGGCAAAGTAATGTGTATCCCAAGAGTGCAAGTTTGGTTTGATGTTAATAATTAGTATTATTTACTGCCTAAAATGAATAATGGAGAAAAAAGCAGATCATCTTCATAGATACACAATAGCACCTTCAAATTTAATATTTATTTTTGTTATAAATTCTTAGTTAACTGAGAAAAGAACTTCCTCAACCTAATGAAGAACATTTATGAAAAATCCACTGTTAAATTTCATGGTGGAAAAAATGATTTTCCTCCAAGTTTATGAATGAAGTAAGGAAAATAGTTCTCGGCATTTGTATTCAACATTGTGTTGAAGGTACTATCAAATGCAAAAAGACACAAGAAAAGTATAAAAATTGGAAAAGAAACCCTGTCTTTGTGAAAGACAAAACATTTGCTGAAAGAAATCTAAAAAGACCTAAGTAAATGAAGAGATTACCACATTTATGGGCTGGAAACTCAATATTTTCACACAAATTTATCTAAAGTCAACAAAGTATCAATATCTCAGAAGACTTCTTTAGAAATTAACGAGATGATACCAAAATTCATATGGAAATTTAAATGACCTCAAAGAACCGAAAGATTCTTTGAAGATAATTTTTTGGAGGACCAAGAGTAGCTGATTTCAAGACAAAGTTAACATACATAGCAATAGTAACCAAGACCGTTGTGGTTTTGGTGAAAGTATAGACATAAATCAATAGATAATAGAATTCAGACACATACATATATATGATCAAATGATTTTTAAAAAATTCCCCAGGGTAACTAAGAAAATCCTAAGAAATAACACTCCAAAAACTGGATACTGTAGGGGAAAGTCTCCATCTCACCTCCAACTCAACACAAAAATCAATACAGAATGGATCATAGGCCTAAACGTAAGTGATGAAACTACAAACTTTCTAGAAGAATGCATAGAGACATTGAAATAGGCAAAGATCTTGGGAGAACCCAAAAAGTAGAAATCATAAGATAGAAAAATTTTGAAATGTACTTAGGTTTTAAAACCTGTGTTCTTTATGAAACACCAATAAGAAAATGAAAAGGTAAACTATAGATAGCAGAAAATATTCACAATACTTACATATTCTAAATACTCTTTCTTTATTTGATATAACTTTTACATCTCAGTAAAATACAACCTGATTTAAAATGACCAAAATATTGAAGATAAAATATATCAAATAATCTGTATAAATGAACAGTAAACATAAAAAGATGTTCAGCTTCATAGGTTATTAGGAAAATGTAGTGATAATACTACATACCCATCAGAATGGCTAAAATATGAAAGACTGAGAGTACTCATGATGAAGTGTATGTAGAGCTCCTGAAACTCTTCTGCAGTGCCAGTGGGGGTTGTCAAAAGGCACAGTCACTTTGGAAAAAGATCTGATTCTTATAAATACTAAACATATTCCTATCTTGTGACACTGATTTTAATATACATATGTTCATACACACAAATGGGAGTATATGTCATAATTTCATCTTTACGTAAATAAGTATAGAACTAAACTTTGTGGTGTATTGGATACATACTTGCTTTGCAACTCTAATATTATAAAATAATCAAATTTTCTTGTACATTTTTTTTTCTATTTTAATCATTTCAAGTGAATTCACTTGAAATTTGTTGTAGTAGAAATAGTGAAAAGAAAATGCAACTCTTCCAACTAACCAATTACTTATATTTTTCTCACTGAATTAAAATGCCATCTTCAAAATAAACTGACTGTTCAGATACATTTAGATATTATTCCTTACTCTGTTGATTTTGTGTTTTATGTCAATATCATAATTTATTATAATTTTACATCTTATGTTTAAATATATGGTAGAGTCTTTATTATTTTTATTTGATGTTTCTGATTATTCTCATGTGTCTATTCTTCCAAACATAAATCTATGGTAGTGTTTTTTTGTATGGGTGTAATTTATGTAACAACTTTTACTATTACACACTTTCATTTTCTTTCTATTGTAGACGAACCAGATTAAACTTGACAAGAAACACAAAACTAATATGACAGCTGAGGAATCAAAACTTAATAAGTTGTCTTTCAAATATCTATGTATATTAGTTCAAAAATTTCAAATTTAAAAATGATTTTTCAAGTTTAAACTATCTTTATTAATGTGTTTTATTATAATACTAAATCTTTCAACCTAAATATACAACTTATCCCTCTATTTAGTAAGTTTTATTTTGATTCCTCAGTAGGTTTTAATAGTTGTCAGTTCTATGTGTTTTGAAAGTTATTCAAAGGAATTGAATATTTTTCAGAAATGCTGGTGACAAATTTTACAATGTTTTCTATAAGGCTTTTTTTTAAAAGAGAGAGAGAGAATTTTTTTAATATTTATTTTTTAGTTTTTGATAGACACAACATCTTTATTTTTATGTGGTGCTGAGGATCAAACCCAGCGTCCTGTGCATGCCATGTGAGCGCGTTACTGCTTGAGCCATATCCCCAGCCCAAAGGCTTATTTTTATATTCAAGAAAATAACTATATACATTTTTCAATGTGAATTTACTTATGTGTTCCAATGGTTTTTCAGCAGGTTTTCATGACATATTAATTTGGTCTGTACATAATGATAATTCTGCCACAGAACTATCTTTTTTATGTCTAACTGATTTGGGCAGCACTTTCTGAGTCTTCAACTTTTTTTCTACATTTTGGGGGGAATTTTTATAGTCATCTAGTTATTCACCATTAAGTCAGATCATACTTGTTTTTTATGTATAACTTTCTTTTGGATAGCCATAGATATAATGTTTACATATATAGCTATACTTACAACAAAATTATTCTCTAATTCTTCTTTTACAATTCAGAAATAAATTATGATGTTTCCACATACGCTTCTGTCCAAAATCTTGTTTTAAACTATATAATCTTGCATAAAATATGGTGTTTATGAATGAATAATGTTCTCCAGGGGACCTTAGATTGAGGAGTACAGTTCAACAACATACCTTTTGCTATTCAGTTGAGCAGTAAGGTCAGTATTTGCCTAACACATTTAAGGCATACTTATTTCCAATTTTTAGTTGTCACCTATTTAATTTCACTTTAACAGATCCACTTGGTTTGAATATAGAAGAATGATAGTTTATAGATTGTTATTCAAAGTTTTTTTCTCTTAAAATTGCAATTCTTCTATTCCTCAATATTTAATCCCAAATCATAAAGGAAGCACATTTACCAGATCCATTATGATAACTCAATTCTATCTCATCTTTTTATAACAAACAGAAAAACTATACAGAGAGATAATGCAGGCAAATGCAGAATGCCTTCATAAATGAGAATTCACTGAATTCTGGCAAAGGTTTACCTTAAAAGACAAAGTTCATTTTTAATAGAAATATATATGAATGAATAAAAATAATCTTGAAATCTTGCACTGGCTTTAACTTTCTTTGTATATTGGATGCTGGGACTTGGTGTTGAATGGAACTTCTATTAGTTTTATTTTGAATGGTAGAAAATATCCTAAACATTAGAGGTATAGGCACTCATTCACTCAGAACTGGTTTCCTCTTAGTCACTGACCTCTCATTTGAATTCAAGGTAGAGTCCTTGAGTGTGAATTGCATACTGTCTAGCCTCATAGTCTGTGTCAGACACTGAATTTGTCTCTTCATAGTTGTCAAACACTGAACTTATCATAATAACTCCAGGAAACTACAACAATGAATTACTACCTCCATTATCCCCATTCTGTAGCTAAGAACACTGAAGTCTATAGAGTGATCTTATCCAAGATCATGCAGATAAGAATGGCAGCCCTCAGATATCATCCTAGATCTGATTGATTCCAAATCCAGTGTTCTTTCCATTATACTTGCTGCCTTATGTATGCCCCTTCACCTGTCTGTGCCATACCTTAACTTCTCTTCCCTCTTCTGCCCCATCCATGCAGGCCTGTGACCAAGGTGTAGACTAAGAAGTGGAGTCATGCTTCACACGGCCGTATCATGCTGGCAGCCATTCCTGGGTCTGGCTGTGGTGTTAATCTTCATGGGATCCACCATTGGCTGCCCTGCTCGCTGTGAGTGCTCTGCCCAGAACAAATCTGTTAGCTGCCATAGAAGGCGGTTGATTGCCATCCCAGAGGGTATTCCCATCGAGACCAAAATCTTGGACCTGAGCAAAAACAGGTTGAAAAGCGTCAACCCTGAAGAATTCATATCATACCCCCTTCTAGAGGAGATAGACTTGAGCGACAACGTCATCGCCAATGTGGAACCAGGAGCATTTAACAATCTCTTTAACCTGCGTTCCCTCCGTCTGAAAGGCAATCGCCTGAAGTTGGTTCCTTTAGGAGTATTCACAGGACTGTCCAACCTCACTAAGCTGGACATTAGTGAGAATAAGATCGTCATTTTACTGGACTACATGTTTCAGGATCTGCATAACCTAAAGTCTCTAGAAGTAGGGGACAATGATTTGGTTTATATATCACACAGGGCCTTCAGCGGGCTTCTCAGCTTGGAGCAGCTCACCCTGGAGAAGTGCAACCTAACAGCAGTACCAACAGAAGCCCTTTCCCACCTCCGCAGCCTCATCAGCCTCCATCTGAAGCATCTGAATATCAACAATATGCCTGTGTATGCCTTTAAAAGATTATTCCACCTGAAACACCTAGAGATTGACTATTGGCCTTTACTGGATATGATGCCTGCCAATAGCCTCTATGGCCTCAACCTCACATCCCTTTCCATTACTAACACCAATCTGTCCACTGTACCCTTCCTTGCCTTTAAACACCTGGTATACCTGACACACCTTAACCTCTCCTACAATCCCATCAGCACTATTGAAGCAGGCATGTTCTCTGACCTTATCCGCCTTCAAGAGCTTCATATAGTAGGGGCCCAGCTCCGCACCATTGAACCCCACTCCTTCCAAGGGCTCCGCTTTCTTCGCGTGCTCAATGTATCTCAGAACCTGCTGGAAACTTTGGAAGAGAATGTCTTCTCCTCCCCTAGGGCTTTGGAGGTCTTGAGCATTAATAACAACCCACTGGCCTGTGACTGCCGTCTCCTTTGGATCCTGCAGCGACAGCCCACCTTACAGTTTGGTGGCCAGCAGCCCATGTGTGCTGGCCCAGACACTATCCGTGAGAGGTCATTTAAGGATTTTCACAGCACTGCCCTTTCTTTTTACTTTACCTGCAAAAAACCCAAAATCCGTGAAAAGAAGTTGCAGCATCTGCTAGTGGATGAAGGGCAGACAGTCCAGTTAGAATGCAGTGCCGATGGAGACCCACAGCCTGCGATTTCCTGGGTGACACCCCGAAGGCGTTTTATCACTACCAAGTCCAATGGAAGAGCTACTGTGCTGGGTGATGGCACCCTAGAAATCCGCTTTGCCCAGGATCAGGACAGTGGGCTGTATGTTTGCATTGCTAGCAATGCCGCTGGGAATGACACCTTCACAGCCTCCTTGACTGTGAAAGGGTTTGCCTCAGACCGCTTTCTTTACGCAAACAGGACCCCTATGTACATGACTGACTCCAATGACACCATTTCCAATGGCACCAATGCCAATACTTTTTCCCTGGACCTTAAAACAATACTGGTATCCACAGCCATGGGCTGTTTCACATTCCTGGGAGTGGTTTTATTTTGTTTTCTCCTCCTCTTTGTGTGGAGCCGAGGGAAAGGCAAGCACAAAAACAGCATTGACCTTGAGTATGTGCCCCGAAAAAACAATGGTGCTGTTGTGGAAGGGGAAGTGGCTGGACCCAGGAGGTTCAACATGAAAATGATTTGAGGGTCTACCACTCACACTACTGTCTCTGTTATTGTTGGTAATCAGTAAGAGTCTGGCACAGTAAATCACTAGGTTAAGAGGGCAGCTTTGTACAGCTGCCCCTGTGTCAATACAGGGTCCATGGAAATAGGAGGACTTCTTATGGAGCCTTTCCATCTAGAGGCAGGCAGGCATATGTCAGAACCCTTCACATGGTGGGATACTAATTGTTTGCATTGCAAATATTGGCATTCTGGGGATCTCAGTAATGAACCTGAACCTTTGGCTCATGCTCATGGACAATTATTCAGCATTTTCTACCACTGCAAAAACAAATGAAAAAATAAGAACAACCTACAGTGTAGGATTTACATATTAAAAAGACACATTTGTCTAAAACATAATCTACAGAAAAATTTGTATCTATGATTATCATTTGTTAAAAGCCTTGCATCATACCATATTGTTGGTTCAGCACCAAAAAGAGATCAATATATTCTTTACTTTTTTTTAAACATATATGCTGTATATGTTTTAAAGCAATATGAATGAGAGGTTGTGCTTTTAGTTACTCACCACTATAGATCCAAGTGTGATTTCACCTTCCTCTACCTACAGATAAGCCTGAGACTAGATCCCTGGAGTTATGGCGGAGATGTGTTGAGAGATGTGTTTGTCTGATGTAGGATGCCAACAAACAGGACCCAAGGCAAAACTGCTCAACTCTGTTAACTTCTGTTACTATAAATAAAGGCATGTGCCTAGTTTTGATACAGAATGGAATATTTTTTATACTTGTAATATCACACTGGACCAGTTTACTGTAACAATGCCCTTGCTTTCTCCACAAGGTGGTGTGCCACCAGATGTACCTGTAAAATGCAAGGTAGGTGTTATTAATGAAAATAATCCATTTAACCACCCCTTGATTTTACTTTCACCAGTCACTGCTAATGAATAGAAAATGAAAGAGGAAGTAAAGATTATATAAAATCATTGGGTAATATTTACCAGTAGCTGAGATCAATAGTTCTGTTGTTCAAAAGCTCTCTGGGTAAGGAGGTCTTTTCCAATGCCAACATAAACCAAGGTGATCCATGCATAACATGATGGTCATGCAACTAAAGATCTGCTTAAAATGTGATTGCTGCGTGAAGGCTGGACTGCTACTTTAAAGGGAACATCCAGCCACTGCCACTATGATGTTCTCTATTCAAATACCATACACATCACATTACCTTGACAACTTCAGAGTTTCACCCTGCTTCCCTAACAAGTAGATTTTCAAAAAATAATCTTGTGTAGACAAGAGGGATCTGTTTATTTTTAGAGGTGAGAAAATACAAGATGGATTGGAAAACATTTTTTTCTCCACTAAGGAAAAACTAAGATTATATATGTGAAACTGTGCTGATTCTTTTATTTCCTGATCTAAGGATATTTGCCAGTTCAGTTGTATTAATGATTGTTACTCAAATATTTCCGTTTTTTAAAAATAGGATCATGTCATTCCCACCAGTGATCTATTTAAAGGAAGTATAGTTCCATTTAGATAAATGTTGAACGAATGACTTTCAAAACATATATTCATAGGATCTTAGAAGCCATTGAATATAGACTATTTGTGAAATGTCAGATCAGTATTAACAAATAGGAAATTTCCACATTTTAATATTTTAAGAGGAATCCGAAGCAAGGTCCCTGTTTGAATTGCACGTGAGCTGGCAAAGTTCTCTAGGATTTCCCACTTAACATGTCAGCTGGGGGGTCTGACTTTCAAAGGTCTGGATTTTTTTTCAGTATTTGAAATTTTGAGGAACTTCAATAAAGTTAAACTGAACCCCCCACACCAAAAGTATCAAGTTCAGAAATTGTTTTTCCAATTGGATAGCAACACAGTAATACCCATTTCTCTTTTAATAAAGGGTGGAATGAGATAGAAAGACTGAAGAATTACCTGTTTGAGTCATATTTCATTGGCTTTCCTAGTGATCATAAAAAATCTTAGAAATTCCTTTTCCATTTGTGACAAAAATTCCCTGACTAGAGCTAACAATATAAATCAGATTGTGGGTTCTATCAAAATTCAACTCTTAAAAATCAGTGGGTCCTTTCAAATTAAAAAATAATAATAATAAAGTGGAGGGGTAGTCTTCCAAAAGAGAAACCACTTAATTTTAATTTTGCAACATTATATAAAGCAAATTCTTAACAAACTAGCGCATGCAAGCAAAAACATTGAAAAAATTAATAGAAGGGCTTGTGATTTTGACTGCTATTTTTTTGTCAAAAGCTGACCATAAAACACCTGAATGAAATAAAATTGGATTAAAGATAGCCCATCGATGAGAAGATTTAGATATTAGTCCATTCAAAGAAGAGAAATTGAACTCTCTCAGGGATTTCCATACTCTGATCTGTAGAACAGTTACAATATTACTAAGCATTCTTCCAAAAGAGTCCCATGGACAAAGTTAGGCAAATGAGGTCCAACATCTATGTAAGCCTAATAAATACGCTATAAAGCTTATAAAAAGAATTACATTTAATAATTTTTACCTGGGGTAGGGATTAACTTATTTGAACCTGAAGGATTTCTTTTCCTGATTAACTGTTAAGGTCTTCAAAACCTAGTTTCATGGAACCCCAAATGGTCAACATTCCAGTACTCCATTGAAATATTCCTAGGTCCAATGTTTCTAATAAGAGTAAAATTACAGTTTGAATTGGGCTTCAACTACAACAAATATATATGCCACCTGCCTAAGTGTTCAGACCATGGAAGTACATTGACCAATATTGCAGGAAAAAGGCTACTTTACTGCATGAAGCATTGTTGCAATGAATTTATAAGTAACTGAATGGACACTTAACTTTTCTATATTCTCAATACTGGTACAAATCTTGGGTTCCTTTTTCTGCAAAGCTCTGGCATTCCATTGACTGTAACTCTGGGGCTTTATTATCCAGCTTTACAAAGGGATTGCATGATTTTTTTCCTTCATGGCTGCTGATTAACCCTTTGCTACATCCTGGTAGAGAATAATTGCTTAGACCAGCACGTGGGCCACCTTTTCCCTTTAGATATTATATCTGAGTTATTTTTCTTCCTAGAGGGTTTGTTTCAAAATACTTTATGAAGAAATACAGTTGTTTGGCTGGGCATTTTGTTCTAGATTTATCAGTACTCTATATGTAAGTAAGCCTTTTCAGAGAAATATTTACTTTCTGTACCCATTATATCTATAAAAGAAAGAAATTCCCTGACTAGAGCCCTAATGTTCTAAGAGACTTGACGCATGGGCCCAAATGTCTGACATACATATTACTTAAAGTAAGAGAAGCAAGTTTGCTTACTATGTTCTTAGTAGGGAATTTCTACTTTTTCAAATTCTCATAATACTTGCTCTTCTAGCCTATTTTCATCTTCATTGCATTTATAATCACATGCTTTTCAAATATTCTCAAAGTGTGAAAAATGTGAACCAGGACTCACTAAGACCTCGTACTTCCTAGTTCCTGAGGTCCTTCGTCAGAACTCTGATTTTGCTCAACTTTCTCAGAAAAGTTGCTTACCATCAACTCTCCAGTGGTACAAAGGCATTCCAGGTGTGTTCTGCAGTATTTAGGCTATATTATTTTCTCATTGTTCTGCCAAGAATTCTTTTTCTCAGTTCTCCCAGGATTCCAGAAGTGACAATCTTTTGTGACTCTTTTAAAAAGGACTATTTAAATCTCACCTGCATTGAAGGCTGCCTTTTGTCACTTTCCATTATTCAAATAGGAAGAAATGTATTTTTTATATTAGAAATACAAAAAAAGAAGATGAAGTAAGTAGAGCCCCATGTAAATTATCTTATACTTCCAGGGTCTCCCTTCATCTCTGAGTCAAGACGTTTGTTTTATCTTCAGGGGCTGTGCTCCGAAGCTGTTCAGCAACACAGAATGTGTCTTGAGGCTTCCTAGGAAATGAAAAAAAGAAGAAGAAGAAGAAGAAGATCATTTTCAGCCTCTAAAGCTAAGCCCTGACAAAAATATCAGGAATTCAAAGAGACGATGTAAGGAGCACTGGGATCTCTTTTACTCTAGCTCCTTTATTGCTAATTTTTATAGTTATCTTCTAAATGAAGAATCAGAGCTTATGCTCTTTTTTAAACTTTCAATGGTAGCTATTTTTATCCTCTATGTCCTGGCCACCTATACCTCACTTGAAATTCCAAATGGATTTTGAGGCATGTGAACTGGTCACAAAACCTTTAGGGCCAAAGCCATTCATCCTACTTGGTACTTAGGTAAAGATCTATCATCTTGATTATTGAAATTAACATTCCTCATTAGACTACTCCATCATGTGCCTGATTATTTCCATTGATAACTCTCCATTGACTTTGGGAGCTCTATTAAACTTCTTTTGGCTAAAGCCCTTGATATTTTCTCATTGAAGAGTTTTGGAGTTATTCTGCCTTTGTATATAAAAAAATCTTTAAGGGATGAAATATTATTTGACTTACTGATTTAGAATTTCATATTTTGGTTAGGCAACAGAGGTGTTTTCTTGTTATTTGGCAAACATTTGACATCTCTTGCTGACAATATCCTTTTCCCCTTCAAAGCCATTTCCAAGAGAGCCTTCTCATTTGTATTCCAGCAAAGTGTAACTCCTGGGAAAAGAGTTTTGCAACATAGTTCTGCAGGATGAAATGAGAGCTGGTTAGCTATGATCTTTAGCGAGGTTTGCCTAATGAACACTGGATCCAAGAGCTGTTAAGTCTAGGTTTGCAAGGTTTAGCTAAGAAAATCAGTTGTAAATCAACAATGAATGGCAGGTTTTCAATTCTGAAGTCAGTTTTTGGAGCAGCAAAAGGAGCTGCATATTTTCTCAAAATCCATGAGGACTGGAAACTCCTTATCTTGCGTGAGCTTTTCAACAGATGGCCTATGGTAACATGTTGGCAAAAAACAACAACAAAAGACAAGATTAAAATGTATGTTAAAGATTTATTTTTCTAAGAGGACTGGTGCTGATGTTCTTCTTTCCAAATATGGAAATCAGATCAGGATAAGCTTACATGTACCCCAATTGTCCTCTTTTAATTTGTCAAGGTCTTTAATACCCCTTCTCCTTCCCCACCCCCAGTTCCCTGGAAAAAGTCCTGAATGGGAAGAAGGCAATTATCAGGGACTACAGTAGATATCCTTATCCTTGAGAGACAGGTTCCAAGATACTTACCAGTGAATGCCTGAAGCCACACTATTGAATGCTCTCTGTATTGTGTTTATTTTTTCCTATATGTACCTGTTGACAAAATTTAATTTATAAACTAGGCTCAATAGAAGTTTAACAGTGCTAATAATAAAACAGAACAATTATAACAATATACTGTAATAAAAGCTATAGGGATGTGCACTTTCTATGCATGTTCTACCACCCTACAAATATTCGTTCACTATTTTCAGACCAAGGTTGACCTTGGGTAACTGAAACTATCAAAAACCAAAACCAACCATGGATAAGGAGGAACCACTGTGCTAATTCCCCAGAGAGGGGGGGGGGGAAGCTTTGTATTCCTGTCTCTCCTGATACCACAATTGAAATCATCCTTCATTCTCCAGCCTGCCTGCTCAACCTCCGCCACCTCTGAGCTGCTGTCATGCCTCATCAATGAGTGTTCTTCTAGGGATAAGTCTTCTTTCATTGGTACGAGGAAATTCTTGGGTAATTGTTAAACTGGAAATTGCTTTAAAAAAAAAACCCTCCAGTCTATCTTCTATAACACTTTAAAAGTTAAGACTTACCATTCACATAATCACAAGCTGACAGCAATCTGCAGGTTGAGTGAATCTGATTTTTTCTCTTCCAGAAGCAGGTGGGTTGATATAATGCCAGCCTAAAATAGAAAGATTTATTTATAGCTTCAGCAGAATGAGAAAAGAGCTGGATTAATCAAGAGAGTACTTCTTTTTTTTTTTTTTAAGGAAGCCTCTATGTTTAATATGCTAAATAGCCATTAGAAGAAAACAAAAATGCAAATTCATGTTCTCTAAATTGGTTAACTATTCTGATTCCAATAAAGTTCAAATGGTAACTGTCCATATTGAAGATGGATCAAAGATTTTGTACCAGATCTAATAGGGAAAAGCGAAAAAAAGCAGAAATTTGGTTGCCTGATAACTTTCTTCATTTATTGCACACCTCCTATTCTAAATTGCTTTAATATCTTTAATCTACATTGCAATATAATCAATACAATCTACAATGTAATCAATAAATAACAAGCAGATTAACTCAAACTTGCAAAAAATTCTCTCATCCCTTACAACCACGTATGTCCAACAAATACCAACTCATACATATCTGACAGTGAGAGATTGAAGCTGAATCATGAACGAATTGCATAGGTTAGAAGAAATCATGCTCTTTTCCTTCCCAGTTATAAATTCAGGTGCACCATACATACCTGGTCACTTCACACACAAGATAACTGTCTTCACATGTTTTCTCCATAAGGTATGGAATGCCCCAAATCATAACCAATTAAAAGGCTATTGTTTATATATACATATATAAATATGTGGGGGAGGGTGGTTTGATTTAAGTGTTTAAGATGTAACTGTTTTAAAAGCTGATAAGTTTGAGCAGGAGGAAAAGAAAATATGCGTGTCTGTATTTTTCTTTAATGTTTTTATCAAAATCTTATTATGGGAATATCCCATGATTGGAACTTTCTAACCAACAACCTAACAAAATTTTTCTTAAATGCCTAATAGCTTGTTTCTGGTCTCAAAAAAATGAGTGCTAAAGACAAAATATATTGATTTAGGATTATGTCTCATTGACTGTTATTGGGTAATTGTTGTGGGTATGTTGTTGGTTTTTTTTTATTTTTTAACATGTAAAAACAAGTTGACTTATTAACATGTGAAAAAGTTAGAAAACATGTTTTCTTTGCTGATGAAAAGGGCTTAAGCATCTGACATCTCAAATTTTGGGGGGTATTATTAAGAAATGAAATGTAATAAAAGGCAATTGGAGTCACATGGAACTATTTCCTTATTAAAAGAGATAGGTTATGTGAACTTCACAAGGAGCATGAAGTTATTTAATTGCTTTAGTGATTGATGAAATAATCTACAACACTATCAGAAGAGGCAGGTCCATTGGAATCCTGCTCTAAGTGTGGAGTGGAGACTACTCAAAGAGGAAGCAGAGGCTGGGCTATCAGTTTCTTTATCTGAAAAATTACAAAAGGGTCATGTTTTGACCTGCTGTATATTGAAATCTATGCAATATCAACCACATAATAAAGACATTCTACTTTAGAAGAAATAAATCCTGTATCACTTGCAAATTGTCCGACTTGGAAGGGTTCAGCAAGCCATACGTGTAACATCATCATCTATTTTTTTCTGAGTTAGCTTTCACTCTGCCAGATTTTCATGATTCAAGACATCATGCAAAATAGAAAGACAAAGAATTTAAAAGATAAATCTTTTGTCTTCAAGCACATTGGTAACAGGAGAAAGAGCAGGTTGTTTAATGTTAAAGAGGGAATGCATTGAAAATTTTAAAACTGCTCATGTGCATTCTTTCTGCTGAGAGTGAAGATGCTTTCTCTTTCCCCTGGCTCTTAGGGAATGGATTTTAGGAGATGTGCTCAGGTAGCTGTCATCAGCTATAGTATCATCTTCAGCCTCTATGGCTCATCTGATACCTTCCAGTGAAGGGGGCACCAGTGGAGGAGGAAGCAGAAAGCTGACAGTAATGGAACCTGCAAGTCATATTATTAGATGACAAGAAAGCCTGGGATTCCCCTCCAGGCAGTGGCAAACACATATTCTAAAGCTGCTAGTGAGAGATTCAGAAAAGGTTGCTTTGCTATTCCTTAATTGCAAATGGAGAGCTTGCCACCAGACAGGAACTTCCTTCTCCCTGGAGATTTCCTGGTAATGCTGGAACCGCTAGGGCAGCAGTCACATCTCCAACAGTGGATTTTAATTTTATACCACTAAACTAGTCCAACTAAACAATAATTTCCCAGAAACATAGTCTTGAATGTGTTCTGTACACATCTCTGCCAACTAATATCACAAGTTAGCCAGTCCAGGCATCTTAACTGATCAGGGATAAGATGGTCCCAATACTGCAGGACTTGTTTTTAAACTATGGGAAGGAAAGAATATAATGAATTCCTGTTATTAAACAAAAGCTAAGCATCCTTGTAACTCAGCATCTCGCTTCTGCTTCTGTACTTAGAAAGACTTCTTGGTCGTGTGCTACTTCAAAAATTTAAAATCTTATCATAATTTTGTGTTTTTGTTTTGATTCTCTCATTTTCCTCAGTCATAAGCATACTGCTCCAGCTAGCTGGCTGTTGTTTCTGTGTAATTTGATACAGTCAAAATAAAAATTATGAGTTCCTACCCACTCCCTTTAAGGTGGATAACCTTATTGTACAGCCCTATGTTCTTAATTACCTCATTGTCCAACCCAAAACACAGGGCATGAAGATTAATGTGGAATAAAGCCAAGTTAAGGCAAAGATGGAGAAGCCTGAGTGGAAATCCACCTAGTATTTCTACCATTGACTGGTGGACAATCTGAAAACATTGGCTTGTAGGGCTTGTCACTCTGGTGCCTTCCATCAACCCTTATAAATAACTAAATGCAAAAATTATGACCCTTTATCAAAAAACATGGGTTGAGAAAGAAATCCCTTACGCAGGCATTGTTTCATTTCATAGTACTCTGAACTGTGTAAATCAGGACATATCGATAAATCTCTCTAAATAATACAAGTATATTAATGCCAGATATACATACACATATATACTATATATTACCAAGTACCATCTGCAGAAAAGATAAGGAAAAAGAAATGGCAGATGGAAAATAAATGGCCTATCTGCTGCTCTGTTCAGCCACCAATAAACTAAACACAATTAAATCATCCAGAAGTCAAGGTCTGAGATTTGAAAACCCAGCAAGAATCTCCACGAAAAACAGCACGTACAAGATAGGTAACTTCTTTGAAAGACCTAAATCTTGTATGTCATTGCAAAAGTTATAGTGAATAATTTTATAATTTTTATTGTCACATTAGGAGATAAATCTGTTTACCAAATCTCTCTCTAAGGATGAGGTAACATTTATGTGAACCTTTTTCTAACTGGAGTCTCACTAGTCATGTTATTCCTTAGCAGGAGAGATCAAGCATGCTAGTCCCGTTGCACAGAAGCAATTCACTACATCTAATCTATTCCTTTTGCCATGGGCTATTAGCTGGATGTACAAAAGACTAATAGGTTACATCCATTATATACATACAGGGCTCTCATGAAAGTTAAACAAATACTTCTTTAAACATACACACAGACACAAATCCATACTATGGCATCCAGAGATTTTTAAGTCTCACAGTGTATCAGTTCCAACACCTCACCCGGAATAAATTCACTGAGCACAGAACAAATGTGTAATGCAAAGAGATTACCAAGTCAACTCCACCACCTTGATTTATATAAGCTCTTCTATTTTAGCAATACCTGGAGAAGCCAGTTGCCTGTACTTCAGTGGTCTCAAGAGTTCTCCATGGCACTACGATAAGAAAGCTGCAGCGAGTGTTTAATGCAGAGTTGGTTTCAATATAAAGCACTGTTTTCTGCCCTGAGTCTTCTGGAGTTAAAAAAAAAAAATGGGTTCACAGAAATGAAAAGTAACTAAAAACTGTCCCCCGGATGGTAAGTGCAGAGAAGAGTAGTATGTTGTTTAGGTCATTCAATATCTTCAAAATAGCATTTGATAAGAGCTGCAGAATATGAGGTTTTTCAAGTAAATGGCAATGAGTAAACATATATGAGAGCATTTAATTACAGAGGAAATAGATGGTGCTCATGTAGCTTGCACTGCCTCTAATAGTGACCTTCATGGTTTAGATTCCAAACTGATAAGTAAACAAAGTCTATACTGGAAATTATTTTAAATGTTTTTGTATTTATATACTTTTAAATGCTGCCAATATTTAGTTCAAATAAATACCCACGGAAAATTCAGGAAATTACTTAATTCTTTCCTTCTCTGATTAGAAATTATAAAGCAGATTTCTCCAGGTTTTATTTTTTAAAAAAATGCAGAAAATATTCCACTTATCCAAGCACAATCTCCTTCATTCTTTCATTGAATCATGCAAGATCTACTAAGTATTCATAATCATAGTAACATCAATAAAGTCATTCTCAAATTGTGGTTCAAACATTAATCTCCATTAACTCCTTTGGTTTCCATATTGCTCACAAACTCTGTTTCACTCCATCATCCAAACCATGTGGTTTAAAGATGGGCCTTGGTGTCCACCTGGCCAGACGTGAGTCTGGCATTAAGGACCTACCTGCTGTAATGATCCACTCTCAGGGAGTCAGAATAGTTATGTATTAAAAAGACAAGAGTCTGGAGCAAGAGTCCCTAAGGCTCTGTTACTGGATTCGTGTTTCTTTATGGGCAAAGTACGGAACATCTCTGCATCCCCATCTTTCAAAATGACCATAACACTACCTACCTCACAAGGGTGCTGTGAGGCTGTGGAAAGCATGAGGGAGTGATATGTAGAACTGGAAACCTATTACAAAGGTGCTACAGGATTTAGAGTGACTCAAAAAAAAATTGTGAGTTTGAACCCCTCTCCCCTGGGAGCCCCAGGTCATCCAGGATATTTCTACTCCCTTTATGGTTAGTCTCTAAAATGGTATTGTCTATTAATTGGTTTATCTTCACTATCACTGACTTCTACAAAATTCAAAACATATCCTCCTCTCTTTAAATGTTGCTAGATTGGAAAAATTAACTTTAACAATGGAGAACAGACATTATTCGCTTCCTGGTGCTGGGGGTGGGCAACACAGTTATTTCAATATGAAATAAGAATTTGGATGGATATCTTCAAGGGGATGCATTTTATTGGAGAAACTTTTGCCTAGGGCTTTCTGTTGTTTTCAGACTGACTCCCCAGCTTTCTGTACCATTGTTTTAACATACATCCCCTTTTCTCTTATCAGAAGGGAAGATAAAAATCTTCCTCTGTTCATGATGATTATTTTCATTCAGTCTGCTTTGCTCAAAAGACAAATTCTTCCCGCAACTATTGTAATTCTTTTCTTAGAGGGCCATTTTTAATTGCCATATTGTTTAGCTAAGCCCTATTGTCTTGGTGTCCTTCAAAACTGTCAGTTGCTTTAAAATACAGGGTGGGAGGGGGGCGCTGATAAGCACATTGTTGTAATTGATTTGTATGTTTGAATTGTCTTATCAGAAAACAAGGTTATAAATTTCATCTGTTGAGACACAAAAAATAAAAATACTTTCCTAAAAAAATCTGCACATGGTTTTTGAATGTTCTAAAACAGTATTTATTCTGTTGATCTTTTTAATGTTTCATTAATGCAGTCACATTATTAATCATAGAATAGAAGCTCCCACATTCTGCTACATTCATTGGCATAGCTCAGTCCTTTGTTATATGAACTTGAGAAACAGCAAAATAGAATTACTCAAGATGTAGATTTGAGATAAATTGAGAATATCCCATTCTGAGGGGTTACATTCAAGGCTAAACACGGCCTTACATAAAACAGATAGATGGGTATAAAGAAATGGGCCCTTTAAGGCACATAGTGAGTTTGTTTTTTTCTTTTGTATTTCCTCCAGTGGAAAATATCACCGCATGTGATTGGAAATGGCCAGGAAATATCATTTCTGTCAGGAAATTTTAAGATGAAGTGAAAACTGAGATTGATTTAAAAAAAAAATCCTTTGAGCCAAGAATCTGCCATAGTAATTGAAAGAAAACTAAAACAATAACAAAGCCCCCCAACCCACAACAATGTTGGTGTTTTAGTCAACTCTGACTGCCATAACAAAATACGACTTGAACAAAAGAAATTTGTTTCCTTATAGTGAAGGAAACCAGTAAGTCCAGCAGGGTCAGAGTCTGGTGAAGGCTCTCCTTGGGCTGTACATGGATGCATTCTGTGGCCTCAGGTGGTCTTTCCCTATGTATACACATGCAGAATCAGCTCTTCTTCTTACAAAGCCACAATTCTATTAGATTAGGACCCTACTCTTGTGATCTCAGTTAACCTTCATCACTTCCTAACTGCCCTGTTTCTAAACACAATCACATTGGGGGTTAGGGCTTCAACACATGAATGGGTGAGGGCATGAGATTCACTCCATAGCGGCTAGTTTCTGCACATTGATTCAAGTGCTCCATCACTTCATTTACCAAAAGTATAAGAGATGCTATCTAGAATTAGGAAGGCAAGCTAGGGAAGTCGATACAAACAAAGATGGAAAAGACAAGGATTTTCAACAACTTGTAAATATTCCTCTCCTTTGTTCACTTACTTTGCTGCTTCTTGACTCTTAGAGACTCTTAGTTGCACTTATTTTCTGTCCATTATACATGATTTCTCAATCTATGACTAAAGTTCTTAGAGAACCAAGTCTCCTGATTTCTTACAACACATTCCCAGAGGTTTATTACCATTACTCAAAAATCTTAACCACTTTAATTTCTTTTGTTCTTATTTCACAAATAAGAACTCACTTTTTTTTCTGGAATACCTGTCCCTCATCTGACATTCCTCCCAAACACATCAAGTTTTCTTTGGTTATGCCTCACTGCACCCTTCTAGCTAATGAGGGCATTATATAAGGGAAGAGATATGGCAGTCTGCCCTGTACTATCCAAATGAACTCACTCACGATTCTAGTCAGTTGTGCCTGGGTTCAGCCACGTGAGCCACATGATGGGCTATTTGTTTAGTTATTTTGGTATGGAAATGTTAATGAATGTGTTCAAGCACCATAGTATTTACTGGTGTACTAAGGCTACTTTCTAGTCCTGAAGAGTCCTATTGATTGAAAGACTCAGACTGTCTGTTTAAAGATAACTGCCTCCAGTAAAAGTTGTTGGAGATACAAGTTCCCCTGCAGCCATTCCTACTGGTTCTGCAGATAGTGCAGAGCCAGGGTGTCAGCCTTTGTGTCAGTCAGGGTTTGTCAAGTGCACTCATGCTTACTAAGGTTCCCAGAGATCCAGAATGCTGTCAGAGGCTAGTCCATGAAGGCTTTGCCCTACACCCTAGAACATATGTTTGAGGATTTAGGTAAAGTTCAGAGAACATCAGAGTCCTCATGGAAAAGAGCTTTACTTTCTCAAAGATCAGATGTGTGTTGACTAAGTTAGACTCTCTCAAGAGACACTGCCCTGTGCCTTTTTGAACACCGAGGAGGTAAGGTACTGTTGACCCTTGCTGTGATTTCTGAGGCTGGAACTTGAATTTATAAGATGCTCACATCCTATGTGTATGTATCTGACCATTAGCCAGCTCCTCAGACATCACTCTTTCAAAGACCAATTAAAAGACATATGATACTAAAATAATTAATAAGGGTCCTATTTTATTTGCTTTTTCTAGTTATAAAGGCAATATATGCTTGCTCACAGTAAAAGGCTTAGAAAATACAGAGGCCAGAAAAAATCTTTTATACTCCCATCTTTCAAAGGCAATCACTATTATTATTATTATTGCAGTAGAATACCTTTTGTCTTTTTTGAAATTACCTAAGTTTTAAAATAGAGATATAAAATTTTATTTTACTATCACTTCTAGAGCTCCTCCTGCTTCTGCTTTTTTCTCCCTTCACCCCTTCTCTTTTTCTTATTTCTCTCTTCATTAAACATTCCAGGGACTTTTACAAATTTCCCACAAATAACTTATACTGCCCAAGTAGAAACACCTATCTACTCTTATAAAGATCCTCAAAAAAAGGTACTGAGAAAATCTGCTATAGTGTTCATGATGAGAGCTCAATCCTTAAAAACTGATTGTTAAAAAAAAATTGCTCACACTCAGACTGGTCTATACTGTCCTCTTTGAAATTGATTGACCCTAGAGGCAATAAAGCTCCCAATTACTGAGCACCTGCACATCTGGCACCGTACAAAAGCAGTCTAATTAATCTCCCCAGGAGCCCTAGAAAGTAAAACCATCTTCGTTGTGTTATAGGATTTTCACCTAGAGCTGTCAATTCCAAAATCCATCCCCTTTCCACTCTACTATGCTACCCTTCACTCAGAAACTTTCCTAAGTAGAATTTAGAATCTAAAATCAGTCATTTCACAAAGAGGCTTCTAAGTATCAGTGCTGTACCCATTCAGATTCCAGAGTTCCCTTTGCAGTAAGTTGAGCTTCACCTCTTTCTTGTGCTTTTTTTCTGACAGAGCAATTGTGGATCTTCTACTCATCATCCCTTTTATGTTCTTTGCAACAAAATCCATCCAGGTGTACTCTATTACTGCTACATGGGCCTAACAAGGGATGCTCTAAAAAATAATAATTCAGTATTGATTAAGAAATAAATGAGAAGACAATATAGTCTTTGGTTACCTACTTATAAAAGTCTATTGACTATCTTAAAGGGCAAAGGAACATTTTTCCTTCCCTGAAATTATCTCGTGATTGCTATCATAGCCATTGCAGGGGGAAAGATTGTCACTCTTTGTCACCTTCAAAACACTCATGTTGCTAAAGTCCCCATTTTATTAACTAGTTTAGAAAATTTGTCATGTAGCTCAAATACAATAGAGTAGTCTGTTTTTCTTCTGACATACTTTTCTTGATGAGAATGATATTTTCCAGAAATTGAAATAAGTAAGAAAATATAACTAGATTGAACCATCCCTAGACAGAGGAAATCACATTCTTTTACATGGAATCACCTCTGTCCATTTAACAGAAATTTAGTTCCTCATAGAAGGAGGGAAAACATTGGGTACATGGAACAAAGGAGCACCTTTGCCTAATTAGGGAACATTTGTTATGAAATAAGGTGGGAAATTGCTATTAATTGGGGGAAAAAAAAGACAGAGACTGTTCACTCTTCACAGAGGTTAGTGATATAGACGGACACCGGGTGGCAACTCTAGCCCAAGCATCACAACTACCATCCCCAGGAAGATGGAAACTACCCTCCAATTACCAGGAGAGGAAAGATCATTAACAGAGGTTGCCTGCTGCTATTGAATAAACAATCTAACATGCCACTGGAAATCACCTCATTCAGGGACAGATAAGCAGAAAGGCATAGAGTAATTCCAACACAGAAAGCTTAATATATTATTTAGTTTCCCAATTAAATGCCCGAATGTTAAGCAGAGACAAGGCTGACTGTCCTTGTGTGCTTGCGCAATCTTTACAGTGCAGCATGGATTATTTATGTTCCTTCTCATTGCTGTCATTTCACCATAGCATGCTTTCATTTGTCATAGTTTTTACATGCAGAATACCCTTTCTAAGTTCCTTACATTTTGACATATCCTAGGGTTGGTACCCGGGGAAATTTAGAAAAACAGGCTCACTCTTGGGTTCTTTCAGAGAGATTAGAAACAAGTGAGCTGATATCTGACTTCCTTGTAAATCAGTCACTTGAGTACTTTTCGAGTACCTACTCTGGGTCAGCTAATTCACCAGGCATTGGGGATCCTGCATGGCACTAGACACCTGAAAAAGCAGGCATCATGGTTCTTTAGCATGTTGCCTTTTATTCCAGACTCTGTCAGCTTTCTGAAGTGGAAAACAAGGATGGTGTCTCAGCTCTGCTATGGGAAGCTGGGCCAATCAAACAGCCCAGGGACACAGTGAGAAGACCTCACACAAAAACAGTGACAGGCTAAAAGCTCAGTTTGGCTACCAAGCACTTCTCCTGGCACAAAGTCTCCTTAGAGTAGGCTATCCAAAACAAAAGCCTTGGGATTGGGCCCATGCAGAAACTTCGCATTTTGGAAATATCTTCCAGGAAAAAGAAAAAAATGATATGTGATAGAGTTCTTCCTCTGTATTGTAGAAATGCTTACCATGGTAGTAAAGGGCTATGTGGAGTCAAATCCCCAGGGTGAAAGGATACCTAACAGTTCTGAGTAAAGTAGGTATTCAAGGAGTGCGAGATGGATGAATGAGGTATGAACTAAAAAGACAGGACATACCACACTGAATCATATCCATAGACAAGGAATAGGGGCTTAATTGCATGAAGCTCTGTAATCAATTTTTCATTTTTATGGGATTCATTGCTGTGTATTTTTTTAATTATACAAACTATACATGTTTATTATAGAACCATCAGAAAACCAAATAAGAGGAAACAAGTAAAAAAAATTCTGAAAACTCCAGCATGAACAGAGACCATTGTTAACACTTAGGTGGTTAAATCAA